ATCTTACATCCCGATAAAAATGTGTCCGAGGAACTATTGAAGTGAAGGCACAATCAATTGGGGTCAGATCTCCATCAATTGTAGAACAAACCAAACCAGAACAACTAATGGTCTCAGCTGCTACTATGTCTAATCCTTGTTAGGGTACTAAAAAAAGTCTCGTTTTAATTCTAGTCTGGTCCCAACTCTCATTTCCATCATCGTTATCTTCTTTAAACACACTACACATCCTACAACACTAGCCTTGCAGGCCACACTACGTGCAACCACTTTCAATGGAATAAAAACTCCTTAACTGCCATCTTCTGGGTAGTTTTAGGGAAATTCTTTCGTACATGGACTTGATGTATAGTTAAGAAAATGTATTATCGAAAATTTAATTATTTTTTTAATATTTTTCATAAAAAATTATTTAAAAATTATTTTTTTACTTAAAACGTTAATTTTTTTAATATTTTTAGTAAAGTGTCTAATATTAATATTTTTGGTATAAAAAAATAATGTTTTAGGTAGAGTTTTATCGGATATGTTAATAAACTCAGTAAAGCACCCAATAATAACTTTTCCGATAAAAAATAATGTTTTATGTAATTTTTTTACCATAAATGTTAAAAAAAAATAATATTTCTGATAGCGTTTTTTTTCTTATCTGTATATTAGGCTGTCGCACGTAAGACTTTCCCGTAATTTTATAGTGGTGCGGACTAATCTAAAATTAATTAGCCACATATTTCAATTTAAAATATTATCAAATTTAATCTGAAAATTAATTATAATTAAGAATATTATGTTATGACGGATTTTAACTTAAAATATTATTTATTTATTCTATAAAATTATTTAAGTAATAATAGGATAAATTGCACATTTAGTATTTAAATTATTAATTTTAGTTAGTTTTAATGCTTAAACTTTTATTTTTTTCAAAATCATATTTAATATTTAATTTTATTTTAGTTTCTGTCGTTAAAAACTTAAAGGAGATACTAATGATGTTTAGTTTTAGCCCCCAGTTGACATACGTATAATCCGAAAGATGATCCACGAGAGAGTGATAAAGTCAACCAACATAGTTCAATTTCAAGCTCATCGGACGACGAAAATAGGAGGATGAAGAAGTCGAAGAGTTGATAATCAATTTGAAGAGATTGAGACATTTTTCAACTAAACAAAAGTCGAAATCATGTTCATAGAATCAAAAAGATGCGAATTAAAAAGTTTTTAATAATGAATAATAAAATAAAATAATAAAATGAAACAAATTAAATATTTAAGTATGATTTAAAAAAAATTAAGTTCAAATATTAAAATGGATCAAAATTAATAATTTAGACATTAAATGTATAATTTACCTTAATAATAATTGCAATTATAACTAAATATTTTGACGATAGTTTTTAAGTTATAACTGATTTCTGTTTCTTTAACTTTATATTAGTTGATTGTGTTTTAGACTGATTCCATCGTCTACCTTGAAAGTCCAATTAAAAATATCCCAAAGTCCCATAATGAAAGATTTTGTATTTCAGAATCGATATCAGCTTGATTTTTTTAGATTACAAAGATCCCAAGAAGAAACGAAAGCAATATAACACATTTGCATGTGAAAAAGTCGGGTATCAGGCCTAGGATCTATACGAAAAGATGCAAAATAGTAGTACTGTTATCAATGCATCTACCAAGACTAACCGCCTAGCCCCATGGCCATGAATGCCATAGCTTGGGAATCCCGATGAAGCTATGAAATGGGAATTGCTGCTGTTCAAGTTCCCATCATCCCCCAACTTGGCCGTGGAATTTGGCCCGATCAAAGTGACCTTTTTGGCATGGTTTTACTCCATAAGGACCATTGGTTGTTGTTGTTGTCATTGACTCAACCGGATAGCAGAGATTCGGGTTGTTCCAAGCCCCGAAACGTTTTCCCATTTTCCCATAAAAGACATGGGAGAATTGGAGCACACCTGTCAGATTGTTGCCGTTTAGATAAAGTGCATTAAGATCAGGCAAAGATGCAAGCTTTGGTGGGAGATTGCCTGTGAGGTTGTTGTTACCAAGACCAAGATACCTCAGTCTCTTCAAACCAGATAATGATTCAGGGATTTCACCAATCAAGCCTGTGTTGGTGAGGTCCAAAACGACAAGATTTTGCATCTTTTGCCAATCCAGGCTCATAATGGCACCACCTAGTGGGTTGCAAGACAACATCAACTCTTCCAAAGAGACCATATCAAGAACATGGTGGCTTAGACCACCTGAAAACTTGTTGTGTCTGAAGTCCAAAAGGGTCAGATTCTTCAGACCTGCAATATGTGCAAACAGCCTCCCTTTTAATCTGTTGTTACTCAAATCAAGCTTCAACAGAGATGTTAAACCACCAAGAGCTAGAGGTAAATGACCATAGAGTGAATTTCTACTTAAATCCAAGATCAACAGTTCATTCAACATTCCAAAACTATCCGGGATTTCACCAGTAAACCTGTTTCCAGCCAGGACTAATCGATTCAAGTTAGTTAAGTTGCCAATACTGGCTGGTATTTCTCCTGTTAAACCATTCTCTAGTAAGACCAAAGATTGGAGCCTTTTGAGGTAACCAAAGGCAGGTGGAATTTGGCCTACGAGACCTGGATTGGACCTAAACTCTAATGACACCAAATTCCCAGCAAGTTTTTCCCAGTCATCGCCGGGGATGGTAATCGGATGTCTGGTAGGAGATATGAAACAACTGAAAAGGCTGAGAGATTTCAAGTGCTTGAGCTGGAAGAGTTGCGGCCTAAATTCCACATTAGTGGCACAAACAAGAGAGTTGTCATGAACAGGACCAATGCTTAAAGTAGTAATATACCATAGGCCACCATTGATATCACAGGAGACACCCTGGAGAAAAAAAAATAATGAACGAGATTGCCACTTAATCAAATAATTAATATGAATCAAAGAAGATTGGTACTTAGTATTATGAATTCAACTCATGCCTCATGGTCAAATATTATTAAACACAAGCCAACATCAAGCATACTACTTTTTTCTCTGAAATATCCAACTGGGAGATGGTAAATGCAATTCCACCAAGGTTACAACTTAAAACCGGAAGGTAAAATCATACCTGTATAGGAGTCCAACCACAAGGATCCGGATAGAGATCCGAGCCATTCCACCAATCACCTACAAACCCTTGTATGGCAGAGTACAAAGCAGCTTGCTCAGCCTTCTCCATGGGAGCTGTTGCTGCTGATTCTTCAGTGTTGTCTGCTTGGCCACAGCACCAAACAACCAAGCATAAAATGCAAACAGCCAAAACGAAATGATTGCCACTGATCAGCATCCTCGTTGTTAGATAATCCAAGGCTCAGAAAGAGAAAAAAAAGTTCAGCTTGGCTTAAACAACCCCAGCGTGGTCTTTGAAAAACAACCGAGAAAAAGGAATGGAAATATATAATAAAGAGATTGTCAAGATAAGGTTAAGAAGAGAGACAGGAGAAGAAGAGGAAGAGAAAAAAAAGGGAGTTGAAAACCAGAAAAAGTTAGGGAATGCAAGTAAGGGACAGCTTCGAAAGCCAGAAAGTGTTTTTGAGAAAGCTTAGAATGGTATGATAGAGTTTGAGAGTGAAAGAAGCAAAAAGATGGTTAAGTGAGAAAGAAAAGGGAAATGGAGAGAGCTGAGTACAGTAGGGGAGTAGGAAGAATTTGCTTCTATGAGGGTAAATAGGAAAGCTAAGATAAGTAATATAAGCAGAAACAACACAAAGTTCTATATAAAGCACGGTTGTCCGAGCCAAGAAAGTAAGGGCAATAATAACAAGATTAAAGGCAGTAGAAAAAAATAGAAACTTGAAGGAGGCTTTGGCATTGAATACTGAAAATCTGAAGCTGAAAGCGATAGGAACAGAGACCCTTTGTGTGTTATTATTAATTATCATACACTTTGCAGCTCCTTGTGAATCTTCCCACAGACTACTTTGGGTTAAGTGCATTGTATGTACATACATACACAATTACAAGTAATAATTACTGGTTATTGTTATTACATTTTTTCCATTCAATTAATGTAGCGCCGGAGATGGGATGTTTAACGTTAAAGAGGGTAGTAGTTGAGGGATTTATAGGTGGAGATGACTGAGACCTATAGGTGTTAAGCTCGTAGGATCAGGTAGGGAGATGGATTTGGTTTTTTGCTTTATGTTTGTTAGGGTTTTGGGAAGGAGGGGGACCATTTTCCATCTTCCATATGTCCCTCTCAAGGGGAAAGGAAAAGGATCTGTAATGGTAAATGCGATGCAACAAGACAAAGATGAGTTTTTATATCTGCTTTGATTTTTTCTGTTTTTCTTTTGCTTTTGGGTGGGTCTTTTTTAAACAGTACTTTTGCCGTTGCTGCTGAGACTCAGACGTTCAGAATGAGAGAGAGATGTGATGAAATTGCAAGGACAAAACAGCCTTTGACTCGGTGGTTAAATTTGGGACTCATGCCGAATATAAACCAAATATGTGCTATAGTTACATCTTAGTCTTATTATTATACCTACTTTCTTGATCAAAAAGAAATTTTAGGATACTAAACCAAGCTGGAAATGAAATCGACCCTACTTCCAAATTCATTATAGAATATGTAAATCCTCAAACTGGTTCATTGAATTTCTTTGCATGAAAACGACTCAACTGGAGAGCAAGAGAGACATGTTCGTATATTAAAATATTGAATGGCATGTCATAATCAAACTTTGACTTGTCCTGCACTCCATGCTAACTGTACTTGGGCAATTACAATCTATCTGACTCCATGAAATTAATCTTTTTTTAGACCAATAATAGAATAGGCAACCCACTAATCCACGAGAACAAATAACAAGCACAAATCTCATTCCCTTGGAATCCAACTAAACCTAGCCAATCAAACAAACATGCATTCCATAGTCCTGCATTGCAATCCAATATAATTTCCAGCAACAGGGAAGAAGGCAAAGTTCGGCTCTGCAGTAATTTTGCACATGGGATAATGATAAATGAGGTTTAACTTACTTTCAATTAAAGAATCTAGCGTACAAAATGAACTAGAAATTAATTGTTGTTACCACTTGCACATTGCTTTCCTTCGGGGAATACAGACAGGAAACATTACTACATAAGTCACACACAAAGATACAATGCAAAGCTCAGAAGCTGAAGCACATTCTGGTTACCTTATTGTGTCAAAGGCTAGCATACAATTGAGTAATCCATCTCCAGTCTCGAAAGAAGAAAACAAAGACAAAATACTAGCCCTCATGAAGTGAAAAATGTCCAGATTTTCTTTCCAATTGAGACGTCACCTGGATGTTCTATCTCATAATCATCCTCATACTCTTCATCATCCTTGTTGATTTTGCCCCCACTCTCATCTTCATCGCCATTTTCAGCTGTAACATTTACTTCCTCAATCAAATCCACATTCTCAACTGACTTTGCTGCTGTGTTGTTATCGACATCCACACTTGTTTTGATCTGCATAATAAGGTTTGTGGTAGAGTAAAAACAAGACCGATGATGGAAATCATATCATCCCAACACAAATGGTTCAGGATTTACCTTAACTGCCTTGCTTTCCAAAATCTCCACATGTTTCAATGCCGTGACCTGTGCTAAATTAGATCTTCTGTTCCCAGTATCCACTTCTCCCTCCAATGCACCATCATCAGGCTACTTCCTATTTCTTCTGTTCCCAGTATCCCCTTCTCCATCCAACCCACCATCATCAGGCTCCTTCCTAGTCTTCGAGACATCAGATGAGGCTTGCGCTGCTGTGGCTGTGGCTGTACTGTAAAAATATTTATAGAAGGTTTGTTAGAAGAATCAATAGTTTTCACCACTTGTGAAGCTTTAATCATATCCAATTGACCAATACAATCAATGTAAGAACACAAAAATATGATCCAAATATAGAAAAAAACCCCATTAAATAGAAAAATGGTTTCCTCCACAAAAGAAACTTTCTATTTTACACAATTAAATAGAATAATGGACAACGATATCCTCCATAAAAGATCCTTTCTACGGAACATAATTAAATATGCATAAAAGATTCCCTTCTATGCAATTAGGCATTCCAATACTGTAAACATTCACCAACACCTGAAAACACAGATCATAACATTCAATGTAATGAAACAAAAATCAGACTTCAAAATTTCAGTATGCATCTATGTTGTAGAGGACTTTTGTTTTTTGTTTCATATTTATCTTGGCACGTACCATTGTATTCAAATCTTAACAATATAATCGTGCTTGCACCATAATTCAACACAAACAAGTATGAAATGAGTAAATGACCTCCAAACTTCAGCATAAATTGTCATTTAAACAGTAATTGTCAAGTTCAGAAACATCCCTTTTGAAAACTTTTAAGCAATAATAATGTTTAAAAATGGGACCAAAAAGTTTTTTTTTTCTTTTTTACTACTTCTAATCCGTTAATTCCACGTCTAACACATCATATGCAGCTAAATAGTACGACTGAATCCCGAAACTTCAATTGTTCTATTTGAATCCTAAACAATGTACTGATATATAGTTCTTTAGAGAGGATCGAGGAGTGCTGATGTGAGAATCAACTCAATTTATTCGTATATATATATTTATAACATGTAATAAATTATAATATGCTATTATATAATATCATATACTATATTTAAATTTCACTGTTTTCTCCTCAAAAACAAAAGAAATAAGCTCAGCAAATCAATTTAACATCTAATGCTCGTCTCGAGACACTTTTCATTCCAAACAGATATTTTCCAGTCCAAGAGAAGAGAGTGGTAGCCGAACGATCTGATCTGCAGAAGAGCCTCAAAAGGGCTGATAAACCCATTTTTATTTCAATATTAACAGCCAACCCAATTAAAGGATCGACAGAAGCAAGTTTAGCACGCAAAGGCAGACTTGGCACTTTAAAAAACTCAGAATAAAATTCTTTTAAAAGAGAATCCTATAAAACAACAAATCAGTATTTCTTCCTTTCAATTAATTAAAAGGGAAATTTATCAGAATCTAGTCAAAGCATCTCACAACATTAAAAGCAACATTGTATGGCATATTCCTAGAAGTCATTGAGAATATTACATATACAATAAAATGGAACTTACCCCCTGGATCGCCTGAGATTGTATCGGATTTCTCCTGGGGTTGGGAGGCCCGGAGCAACTGGTTGTTGCCTCTTCCTTCTCCCACCAGTTGTGACACTCCCAGAGTGTCCTTCACTGTCTGCAGCATCCAACTCACTAACTTTCGAATTTTGTGGGAGTTGCTGCTTTCTTGCATTACTGCATGCTCTTACCCCCTTGGCAGTATGACTAGAAACACCAGCACTTTCTTCACTGACATGGCTGGTTTCGTGTGGCTGCACCCTCTTACTAGGCTCAGGTCCTTCAGGGTTTTTGCCAAGGAATAGTTTTGCTTCTTCAACTACAGCCTTCACAGAGTGTGTTCGACCCAGTCCAGATTTAGGTTTCCTTCTAGGTTTGTGGTGATTGCGGTGATCACTCTTCTGCTCTGACTGCAGAGAATCTTCAGAAATTTCTTGCACCTTACTCTCACTAAAGCTCTGATCAGCAGATGGGATAGATTCATCACCCACCTCTCTCACCGCATTAGATTGTGGCAATTGGTTATGGATGGAGTCACCTGGAATCCCTATATACGGCTCTCTTGCCTCTTCTTGAATAGCAGCTCCTGCTTCTGTAGCAGTAAGCATACTAGGCCCATCATCTTTACTTCCATTTCCCTTGGTCGGTTAAATGCTAAAAATCTTAGTGCATTTGCGGAGCCAGGATATGCGCCTGGCAGATTCTGGATATGCGGCATCAGCTTCAGGAGATCTCCTGATATTTGTAACACCAGAAACACCTATATAACCTTGATGACAGCTTAAGGTTTCATCAGCTAATCGAGGAAGAGGAGGGATTTCATGCTGTCGCGACTGTCTTTCAGTTGGGTCTCGAATTGGACTTCGACTTAGATTAAATGAATTTGAGTCGTCACCGATCATTTAAAATGAATTTAGATAGGTCGTACACCATCTTACCTGATCTGCGTTGTACCAAAAACGTATCAAGTTCGGGAGTCGGTTACGATCAAAGAATGATTAGCACCCTTGAACCGCCCTTTCGATACCAATTAATTCATAGGTTGTCTTAATCGCGAAAATCAAAATTTAAATTGAAATTTAAAAATTCAATTCGAATTAATTATCTTTGATCGATTAAAAATATCCCTAAAAAGTTAAAAGTGTTGGATTGTAAAAATAAAAACAAAACATGAGAAAAGAATAATAAAAAATATTAATATAATAATATTAATAAAAAATAAATATATATATATATAAAACAATGTAAAAAGAAATAAAAAATATTAAAATTATGAGAAAATGAAAAATATATATAAAGTAAATAAATAAAAAAAATAAAATAAAAAGAATAAGTCAAAAGTTATTACATCTCCCATGTTTGCGTGTAGAGAAACTAGATTTACAATGAAAATGTTCTGTCACTCCTCGTGCTTTTAGATACTGGCGTTGAATCCTCCAAGCTTATTTTTTGTCATTTTCTTCCCTCAGTTTTTTCCAAATTGTTGCATGTTCTTCTGATTTTGGTTCCACGTTTTTCTCTGTGTAATTTCCTCTTGATGCATGAGTCTATTTATAGTCTAAAGAAAACTATTTTTAGCTCAGATTTAGAGTCATACTTGGACTCAAAATGCTTCGGTTTTAGTGTTTTAATAAGACTCAAATATGTTAGTTTGTTTTATAAATCTCATTAAATCGAGGTCGTTGAGTGCGGGGCCTGCAAAAATAATAAAATAAAAATATAATAATAAATAAATAAATATATAATAAAATAAAATATTTTTGTAGATCCGGACAAAAACGGGTGTCTACAGCTACCCCTCTTTGCACATTTTTGTGTTAACAAGAATATGACAAAGATGAAAAAGATAACCAGTTTTTGTTCGGTTCTCTTTGATTTGAAACTTGATAGTGTTTGTTGTGACAATAAGTCTATCCATTGGGCACAATATCATTCTTCTTGAAGTTGAAATCGTAGGGAATCGGAAAGTGACTCTTTGTTGCCAATTTTGGTCGACCTTGATCTTCTTCTCGATTTAGAGATCTGGGTGTAAAAATTTGACCAGAAAGTAGTTCCTTGCTGATGCAACGCGATTGATATGCCCTCGAGCTGAATGAAATCGAACTCGAAGGTCTTTGGCAGATATCCCTTCTTGTCCTGAGCTATGCTGCAAATGATGGCGCCTTTGAGCTGAGTGGAGTCGAACTCGAAGGTCTTTGTTGACAGATAACCTTTCTAGCCTTAAGTTATGCCGTAAATGATGTGCCCTCGAAGCTGAGTGTAATCAAACTCGAGGGTCTTTGGCAGATAGCCCTTCTCGACTTAAGCTATGCTGCAAATGATATGCCTTGGAGCTGAGCGTAGTCGAACTCAAAGGTCTTTTGGTCACAGATAACCCTTCTATCCTTGAGTTATGCTATAAATGATATGCCCTCGAAGCTGAGTGTAATTGAACTCGAGGGTTTTTGGCAGATAACCCTTCTCAACTTAAGCTATGCTACAAATGATGTGCCTTGGAGCTGAGCGTAATCGAACTCGAAGGTCTTTGGTTGGAAGATAAACCTTCTCGACTTAAGTTATACTGCAAATGATATGCCTTGGAGCTGAGCGTAGTCGAACTCGAATGTCTTTTGGTCACAGATAACCCTTCTAGCCTTGAGTTATGCTGTAAATGATGTGCCATCGAAGATGAGTGTAATCGAACTCGAGGATCTTTGGTTGGCAGATAACCTTTATTGATTTAAGTTATGCTGCAAATGACGTGCCTTGGAGCTGAGCGTAGTCGAACTCGAAGGCCTTTGGTGGGCACGATTCCCTTCGCCGTGAAGTTGAAACCGTGGATGACCCTTCGTTGTGAAGTTGAGCATCGAATTGGATATCCTTTGTCGTGAAGTTGAAATCCAAATATTTGTGCTGTTTCGAGGCCAATATCCTTCGCCGTGAAGTTGAAATTGACTCTGAAACTGGAAAGTTGTTTGTTGACAGTCAGCCGCCCCTTCGCTGTGAAGTTGAGCTTGTGTTGTCTCAAGTCCAATATCCTTCGCTATGAAGTTGAAATTGACTCTGAATGAAACTATAAAGTTGTTTGTTAACAGTCAGCCGCCCCTTCGCTGTGAAGTTGAGCTTGTGTTGTCTCGAGTCCAATATCATTCGTTGTGAAGTTAAAATTGACTCTGAATGAAACTAAAAAGTTGTTTGTTGACTGTCAGTCGCCCCTTCGCTGTGAAGTTGAGCAACCACCATCAATTTCCGAATGCACTTTTTGAATCGATTATCTTTCATCTTGAAGTTGAAATTTGACTCTAAAAGCTGTAAAAAAATATGTGTGCTAAAAATGATAAATGTGATGCTCTTAAGTGTGTCTAAGATGAATGCAACATGAATTAATTCTGTTTTATCTCTTGGATGAAGCCTCATTTTTTGTCTGTTGGTCTTGTCGTTGGAAACGACCATGCCCCATTTCAAGCGTTGGCTTTACAAACCTTTCATATTTGAGATTGTCCTGTTTGAAAATGTTTTTCTCATTTTTCTTGTTTTAGGAGGGAAAAGGATAAAAATTCTATAAAATATTGTTTGCAATTGAATCAAATTATAAACATGAGTTCAAAGTATATCAAAGGAATCAATAGCTCTTTTAATGCTTTCAGAGTTACAGCTTTTTGACAAATGTTCAAATGGATGAGTTGGCTTTAGGTTGACCTAAGGTTTCAGCTATAAAAAGGTCATTTTTTTTTGTTATTGCAACGTGTTTTTTTTTGTTTGGCATTTTAATTGGGTGTGGACAAAATGACGTAACTAGCATGATCAATTACTAGACCTTTTATTTTGGTCCTCTGAAATCTTCCATTTGTTCAAGCCTCGTAAGCTCCTCTAACAAAGGTAGTGCAGAAATATCAATGTAAAAATGAAATTCCTGAGTGCTCGTGTGCAGTTGACTATAACAGGTGTTTCTTAACTCCCTTAGTCCATCATTACCGAAAATTTCTTGCTTAGATAAAATTGATTTAATTTGCCGTTATCTGGCTAGCTGAATCCATAAAGTCGGGGTGTTTAACCAATTTCTTTAGAGGGACAACTTAACATTATAATTAAGTTAACTGAAGGGTTCATCTCATCACAAAGTCTTCGGTCGGACAATAGCAGTGGAGCAAACACCGAATTGCCAAGTGTTCGAGCAATGTCATGTTTTAAACGTAATCTACTCATAAGGCCATGACTTTCAAGTTTCCTCTATAACCAATTTCCTTAGTGGAATAGCTCAGCTTTACGGATTTAATTTCTTAAGTTTGTCAAGAAGAACCTACTATAGTCTAAGTGTTGTTGAAAGTCAAGGAATCTCATTTTTAGAGTTCAATTTCCAAACAACTGACCTAAACTAGATTTACCTACTCGACTATTCCCATCTGTAAAGATAATGATCATTATTGAACGTCTTAAATAAAAGGTATACTAATGTCATATGCAAAAGGATGCCCCATGTTGTCCGCACCTTATGAAAGGAAAAGGTTATATTGGTTTATTGCAAGAGCAAGGTACGGTGTTTGAGTGTATATTTTGGGTAAAGTCAAATTCCTTGTTTTAAATCATGTTACTTCGTCAAAGATATGTAACTTTGAACCATTTACAGAGTTTCTTAATTCAGATAATATTCAAAGAATTGCAAGTTTGCAAATGTGATTCAATGCTTAACATCTTTAAAGTAACATAAATTTATTTAAAAGTCCTTACAAAAACTTGAGAAAAAAATAAAAAAAAATTCAAACAGAATGCCTCAAATGATGAAATGATCTTCCTCACTTGGATGCCCCCAAGTTATTGAAGTTGATCCAGTTTTGGTTACGCATCTTCTGCACGACTCTCTTAAATGCGTAGCAATTCTCAATTGTGTGCCCTGGGATACCTCTGTGAAATTCACAATGAGCATTCTCGTCATACCGCTTGGGGTATGGGGACTTTATAGTTTCCACCAGGTATGGTGACACTACATGGGTGTCAAGAAGTTGCTGCTAAAGCTCTTTGTAGGTCCTGGGAATAGAATCAAAATGTTCTCATTTTTATGAGACATGTGAGTGTAATAAAAGAGAAAAATAATTCGAAATATGCAGGAATGCATGATGCATGCAATGTTCGAGGCATTGATCAAAAAATGTGTCTGTTATTAGAAATAATTCTTATTGGAGGAAAAAATGTTTTATCTTTTAAAAGACAAAAATATCCTGACAACTTCTGACATGTTGACTAGTCTTCTGCCTTTGTCTGTCACCGGTTGAATAACCTGTCGAACAGCTCTGGCTTCTCTGGATGAACCGTACAAATGTTGAGTTGCTTTTTGTACTGGCCCAAGAAGTCTCGAATGACTGCATCTCTGGCATTTATCTTTCAATTGATAGGAACTATGTAAAGTTCATTTGTCTGTTTCTTGAATTCGTCAGTAAGGGTCTCCAATTTCAGCTATCGTTTTGCAATTATTGTCTTTGAAGGGACTCCCTTCATCTTGCCCCTGCAACCTCTGCCAGTCAGTTCTTCAAAGATAGACTTTCATTGTGCTTGATGTAGACCCAGTTCATTCTGAGTCCTTTATAATGCAGCAGTGTGATAAACTCTTCAATTATGGACACAATGTCTTTTGGATTGAATGTGACACATAGTCGCCTTATAGATTCTCCTCTGTATTTTCATCTCTTGCATTACAACCCCTTTGTCCATTAATGCAGATTATTCATGTTTAACAAACACATTTTTTGTGGATCAACACCTCTTTTAAATGATGCAAGTGATGAAAATAAAATAAAATAAAAATGAAAAGAGTTAGTGAGGTGAAAATAATAAAAAATAATCATGAAAAATAAAAGTCCTACCCCACATGATGTTTACCCCACATGCTTTAATTACTACCCAGACATGATCTCTATCCCGCATGCTAATTTCAAACAAATCCTAACCGCATATTTGTCTAGTTCGTATGTTTTGAACAGAAAGTAAAGCATGAAACAAAGTAGCCTAGGGTTTAGAATGAGGTTTTGGGGTGGGCTCTAATTCCCTGTACTCTCCCGGTTTAGGTTCTAAAAAATGTACTCGAGTTCTCCTTGTTGGTTCCCCTTTGGGCTTGCCAGACCCTTAGTCCTAAGCCCATTACAAGCTTATGTGGACTAAGTTAAACTCGAGAGGACACATTCCCTTATGCCCATATGGAGAATAAATTCACTCGAAGGCATAAGGTATATGAATCCCGAAGGTTACTTGCTAAGCCCATACGGAGAATAAATTCCCACGAAGGCGTCGCTTTCACCCCCACTTAAAAGGTTCGGAGCTCGGGTATAGAGCCAAATATGAATTTTTTTTCAAATATTTGAAATCATTGAAAGAAAACATCAGTACAACTATTTATTTGAAAAATAATCAAATGTAAATAATTGGAATCGAATAAATAAATTAAAATTAAAATTTACCATTTTCACATAAAAAGGCATCGAAAATTAATTTCGGCCTAACTCACTTACTTGTCCCCAGCAGAGTCGCCAAGCTGTCGCGACCGTCTTTCGGTTGGGCCCCGAATTGGGCTTCGACTTATATTAAATGAATTGGAGTCGCCACCGACCATTTAAAACGAATTTAGGTAGATCGGACACCATCTTACCTGATCTACGTTGTACCAGAAATGTGTCGGGTTCGGGAGTCGGTTACGGTCAAGGAAGGATTAACTCCCTTGAACCGCCCTTTCGGTACCAATTAATTCATCGGTTGTCTTAATTACGAAAATCAAAATTGAAATTGAAATTTAAAAATTCAATTCGAATTAATTATCTTTGATCGATTGAAAGTATCCCCAAAAAGTTAAAAGTGTTGGATTGTAAAAATGAAAATAAACATGAGAAAAGAATAATAAAAATATTAATATAATAATATTAATAAAAAATAAAAAATAAATATATATATATATATATATAACAATGTAAAATGAAATTAAAAATTTTAAAATTAGGAGAAAATGAAAAATATATATAAAGTAAATAAATAAAAAATGAAATAAAAATAATAAGTCAAAAGTTATTACATCTCCTATGTTTTGCGTGTAGAGAAACTGGATTTGCAATGAAAATGTTCTGTCACTCCTCGTGCTTTTAGATACTGGCTTTGGATCCTCCACGCTTATTTTTTGTTCTTTTCTTCCCTCAGTTTTTCCAAATCGTTGCCCCTTCTTCTGATTTTGGTTCCACGTTTTTCTCTGTCATTTCCTCTTGATGCATAAGTCTATCTATAGTCTAAATAAAACTATTTTTAGCTCAGATTTAGAGTCCTACTTGGACTCAAAATGCTTCGGTTTTAGTGTTTCAATAGTACTCAAATACGTTGGTTTTAGTGTTTCAATAGAACTCAAATACGTTGGTTTATTTTCTGAATCTCACTAAATCAAGGTTGTTAAGTACGAGCCTGCAAAAATAATAAAATAAAATAAAAATATAATAATAATAATAATAAATAAATATATAATATAATAAAATGTTTTTGTAAACCCGTACAAAAACAGGTGTCTACACCTGCAAATCAGGAATTTGGAAGTTAGAGAGTACGAAGTCCCTTGTTACTTCTCGGCAGTTCTTGCATGACTTGTACTTCTCAACAAATTCAAGGAAGCTATGTCTTTCACAGATAAACTGTTTCCACTGGTCTTTGAGTCTGCTGCTAAGGATACCAAGTTCATCAATATCCTTCTGCATTTCTAGTTGCTGCTCTTTCAGATTATCCCTGTTAACTGCAACTTCATTTTTTCTTCGTTCTACAGCACACTTCGCAGACTTAAGTACTTCCACTTCACTCTCAACATCTTCTTTAGAGCATGGTTTCAAATCGCGGTCGCGGTCACATTTTAGGTCATTCCGTGTTTACCGTGATTGTGGCCATTGCAGGTGTAGCGGGTAATTTAGACGGTGGCGCTACCGCTATTTTGTGGGCGCTATCACATTTTCAGACCGCATTTGAAACCCTAGTTTAGAGCATCTCAAACTAGCAAGTTCTCTCTCCTTCACCTCCTCAAATGTGTCAATCCTTTCTTGTAGATCTTTATGCATTTGATCAAATCTATTATGCATATCAGTTTCAAGATTCATTTTCTACAACTCAAAATCTTGAAGCATTTTAATTCGCTCATTCTAAGCTTCTTCAAGTAAAATTGATTTTTCATGCTTCATTGTGGCTTCAAAGGATTCTTTCTGCAGCCTGACTGATTCTATCTCCCTAGAAATATAGTGGATTCTTCTTTCTTCAATCTTTCTTCCTCTGAATGTTGCAACTTTTCAAACTTTTCCTTTTTTTTTTTGTTAATTTTCTTTTGCAGCATAAGGATTTCAGCTCTTTTTTCATCCAAAACATCCCACTCTTTCTTAAAATTTTCCATTTTCTATTTGAGGTCCTCGTTTTCCTTCAAAAGTAACTCCTCTTGACATCTGCAGTTGACTATCTGCAGCTTCAATTCAGACTGCAATCGGATATGTTCAACTCTCTCATGTTCAGTAATTTTAAGCTTTTCAGACTCTTCTCAAATTTGTAACTTTTGTTGACTAGTTTCAGAACCTATATTATCAATCTCATCTTTGAGAGCCTGTAAGTTCTCTCTAGCAGTATACAACTGCTGCTTTTCCAACTCTAACCTTTTGTCCTCAGTTTTCAAAAATTTCTCTTTGTCTTTGACCGTTTCCAACCTCACCTCAAGGTCATTTTCTTTCTCCTTCATTCTCTCAAACTTCTTATCCAGTGCCTGTTCTTCCTTCCTCAACTTTCTTCCTTGTGATTAACTTCAGCTTCCTGCTGCTTTACTTCATGTATCTTGCTTTCTAGTTCCTCATCAACAGACTTCCTCTTTTCTCCCAGTTCCAATTCAAATTCCTGCATTTTAGCATGTAGAATAACCCTTTGCTCATCGATAAGTTTCTGAATCTCCACCTATAAGGACCCAAGGAGAAAAAGAACTTGAGGCATAATATCATGGACATACATACAATAAAAAACTAATACGTTCAATAATGTAGCCGTATACAAGAAAAAGAAAGATGTAAGCATCTGTGTTTAGAGAATACTTAGCAATTTTTCAGACATCGTTGTTTGCCTAAAAAATATGATCATTGTTACATGCAACTGTAATAAAGCACATGTGATGTGAATAATATATACAATCATTTATCAAATTTATAGCACCTAATTGTAGTTCTTTGTATTTATAAAGGAAAAAAAGTTACCCACAATCACTATGGAAACTTTTAAACGTTTAATAAAGAAATTTTAGCATCATTACTTTCATATCTTAAGGTCTCATGAATGCAAATAGGACACCACAATGAAGTTAATGTGCCACCAAATTCCTCATGATCCAATTAATAGCATGTTGATCCTCTAAAAGGATGCTTACCTTAAAAAAAATAGTCTCACGACCAGCAAAGACTTATACATGCTTGGTGTGTTTCTTATGCATGGAAAGTGCAAAACACAATGCAAGGTGCCAAAAGAAATGGCTAAATACCAACACTATTGAAGCAAAAAAAAAAAAGAGTAACAAGGAAATATGGCATTTTTTTACATTATTTACAAGCCAAGATAAAATGACAAATATTTTATCTCACCCTTTCTCTAGCAGTAAGCATTTCTTCCAATGCAACTAGATCCTTCTCTTTTGCCTCTAAGGTACTTCTCACGGACTAAGCTTCCTACAATATTTAACAAAAAGCAATAATCAGAATTCAGGAACAAACTCATAATAAAATAATTACTAAATTAGGCACAAAAACCACTTTTTCTTTTGAAACCAAGTCTGTGAAACGTTATCCTATATCATCTTCCATCTCCTTTAACTTCAATGTGGATAAATCAATATTATTTTACAGCTCTTCAAGGCTTTTCTCTTTCTGCTTGAAAAGGCTTTCACTCTTATTTGCCTTTTTCTCCCTCTGGTTAAGCATTCTTCGAAGTTCAGTCAACCTCTCTTCTCCCACTCATTCAAGTCTTCCCTCTGTTTGTAAAAAGTTGTATGATGTGCTTCTCATCTAGAAGCAGTTCCAAATGCATCATGAAAGAAATTTATCATGAGAAGTGAGCATAAAACAACCATCTGAACACATGATTAAAAGTAGATTAAGAGAAATACTCTGCAACTAAGGAGAGATGCTCTCTTTGAAGAACACTTTCGCGAGCTTCTATCTCTTGCAATTTTATTTCCAATTCTGAACTTTTTCTATTGGCCTCTGCAAGCCCACTATCAACATCACGCAACTTTTTCTATTGGCCTCTGCAACTATAAACAACATTAATTAAGATGACACAATATTAGCCATGTTTGAAGCTCAAGAAAATGACAAGGATAGCCGCAAGTATATATTGTCTGGATAGACGAAGTATAGATTGTCTGGATATACGTAGATAGTGCACAAGGCACTTATGACTGACCATGGCACTTATGGCTGACCATGGCACAAGGCCTTAACACTCGCAAGGGGTGGGTTAGTTGGCTGTCAAATCCGATGCAATAATTCCAGATTCACATCCACGTAGACTAAAGGGGTATGAGAGCTCCGAGATGCAGTAATCCCTTGGTCGTACTATGACTTTTACCCTAGAATAGCATGAGTATGTGTGCATACTCACTTGTGTTATTGATATACAAGGATGAGCATTTATGAACACTTTTAGTATGACATTGTTGTTAGTGTGGAACTGGGCTAGTGAGCTCAACGTTCGGAATCGTGTTTTCGTTCACAGGTCTATAGGTGGAGCATTCAAGGAGCCAGTCGCTTTACAGATATTCCACACAACCAAGCAGTTACACTACATCTTGAGTCTATCTTATTTAAAGGGCATGTATAATTTATAGACCTTCTTGTACTTAAGTCATAATTGATTTTAAATACTCGATTATACTTTTGATTTATTTATTTTGGGAGCTCCCTTGTATTGTAAACTTATATTATTTTGTATGATTTCATGGTTTCTAAATGGTTGTTTTTAAAAGAAAATTTTTGGGTTGTTGATCTGATGGGCCCATGTGATGCTCTAATCGGTCGACTATATGTCGTATCAGATTTAGGTGTTACACCCCAAATCTCTTGTTAATGGATTTCTTAATTTAGAACCGTCGAAGTCCAAGAAATATGATCTTTATTTGTAATGATTGTGACATGATTCTTAATAATAAGCCTAGTATTCTTGTTATCGTTGAACCCCATATTTCTGGTCATTTGGCTAGTCATATTACTAAAAAGCTATAGTTTCTTAAAGTTCACATTGTTGACCTTTTGGGTTTTGCTGGTGGTATTTGGGTGGTTTGGGATGATCAAGTTATTGTCGTTGACATTATTCACTCATCTCACCAAGTTGTCCACTACATTGTGACGCATCATGATTTTGATACGTTCTTATTCTCTATGGTTTATACGAGTTCGACTCTTGAAACACATTGAAGACTTTGGTCCCAATTAAAAGATTTTATTGGTTCCTTCTCGCTCATTTAGATGGTATCCATGAATTTCAATGATATTCTTTTTTCGAATGAGAAATTTAGAGGAAGAAGGCCCTCATCTCTTAGATTCTGGTTATTTCATGAGATGATTTCTAATTGTAGCCTTTTAGATCTGGGTTATCAAGGTACTCCATTTACCTGGTGGAACATGCATCATGAGACTACCAAATCTCAAGCACGTCTTGACATAATTTTGGCAAACGAAAACTAGAGGTCCTGCTTTCTAGAAGCACTTGTCACCCATCTTCCCCGACTTTATTTTGATCATTGACTGCTCCTTATTCAGTTTAATCAGGCTCAACTGATAGCTAAAGACAAGCGCCCATTCTGGTTCCAAGCAATGTGGTTCTCGAATGATGGTTTTCATGATATTGTCACGGACTAAACTTTTGGGTCCATGGACATTAGCACAAATGTTCACAGGAGGGGTTCTATTGCGCAAACTTTGGGCTTGTTGGCCATGATGAGTTGGCCCGATTCTTGGATAATGCTTACGAGTCCGTGAAGGATCAATTCCGAGGCGTTATAGAGAAGCGACGATGGTGTTACATATTTGATGGGGGAAATTTTGTCAAGGCTCATGGATTCGGACCGAGACATGTGTGCGCAGATTTCTGTAGAAGAGTAATACAGAATGTTGGGCTTGCCTATAACCATAAGATATGGCCCGTTCATTCGAAGATTCCAGAAAGGATAATATTATCCAATAATTAAGGAGATAAATAATTAATTATGGATAATGTTGTGTTTGAATTCAAATGCCTCAGAGATAGAGTTCTTGTTAAGGTAGGATTCATTCTAAGCCGTCATTGTACTTTGATCTAGACCGTTGGATATTGAGGGCCTCAATTATAAATAGAGAGCTTCTCCCCTCATTTGTAATCATTTCACCATTTGTTAATCTTTCAGAGTAATAAAACTCAGGCATTTACTCTTACTCTCTCTGAGTTCCTTTTTCTAGCCTTATAGCTTTTTAGCTTTTTAGTCTTGTTGGCTTGTCTCTTTTTGTTGAAGTCTTCATGGCTTGTGTTGCCGAACGTGAGGGCAAGATAGCCTCGATAGTGTTCCTTTCTGAGTTTTTTCAAAGTTCCAAAGTGATTCAAGTCGTGGTGACTTAGAAAGTTCCCACAATGCTCATGCTTTAGAGATCCGCTTCAACTCAGGTGGCTTGGATTAACCCCAATTGAGTTTAGTTTCCGCATTGTTATTTAACCCTTGAGGGTTTGTTCATCGCTTAGTGAGCCATAGACTCACAAGGACGTGGTTAAGGCT